CCCTTCTTTGGGATTGGAATGAAAACTGACCTTTTCCAATCCTGTGGCCACTGCTGAGTTTTCCAAATGTGCTGGCATATTGAGTGCAGCACTTTCACAGCATCATCTTTTAGGATTTGAAATAGCTCAGCTGGAATCCTGTCACCTCCACTAGCTTTGTTTGTAGTGATGCTTCCTAAGGCCCACTTGACTTCACATTCCAGGATGTCTGGCTCTAGGTGAGTGATCACACCATTGTGGTTATCCGGGTCATTAAGATGTTTTTTCTGTTCTTCTGTGTATTCATGCCACCTCTTCTTAATGTCTTCTGCTTCTGTTAGGTCTGTATCATTTCTGTCCTTTATTGTGCCAATCTTTGCATGAAACGTTCCCTTGGTTTCTCTCATTTTTTTGAAGAGATCTCTAGTTTTTCCCATTCTGTTGTTTTCCTCTGTTTCTTTGCATTATTCACTTAGGAAGTCTTTCTTATCTCTCCACGCTGTTCTTTGGAACTCTGCATTCAGATGGGTATATCTTTCCTTTTCTCCATTTCCTTTCTCTTCTTTTCTCAGCAGTTTGTAAGGACTCCTCAGACAACCATTTTGCCTTTTTGCATTTCTTTTTCTCAGGGGTGGTTTTGATCACTTCCTCCTATACAATGTCGTGAACCTTGTCCCTAGTTCTTCAGGCACTCTGTCTGTCAAATCTAATCCCTTGAATCTACTTGTCACTTCTACTGTATAATGGTAAGGGATTCGATTTAGGTTATACTGAATGACTTACTGGTTTTCTCTACTTTCCTCCATTTAAGTCTGAATTTTGCAGTAAAGGGTTCAGTCTGAGCCACAGTCAACTCACAGTCTTATTTTTGTTGACTGTATAGAGCTTCTCCATCTTCGGCTACAAAGAATATAATCAGTCTGATTTTGGTGTTGACTATCTAGTGATGTTCATGTGTTGAGTCATCTCTTGTGATGTTGGAAGATGGTGTTTGCTATGACCAGTGCATTTAATGTTGTTTTTTGTTTTTTCAATGTTCCTTGAGTTGATGCAAGTCCTGGATTAATTTTCAGTTTGGAAAGTATTAATTTGACAATTTATTTTGTTCTTTAGTGGAGCAGCATTTGGAGACCTTTGCTATTTTTACTGATATTAGTGATACATATTGTTTAATAATTTTATTTTGTTTGTTAGTATAAAGACATACAATTAACCTTTGTATAGTGAAGCTTCAGTAACATCACTAAACTTATAAGTAATTTTTAAAAAAATGACAAAATTTTTCATGTTCTTTTATCAAAGTTTAATTGATTTATAAATTTATTCTTTTCTAAAGATTGTTTCTAGATATCTTTAAGAGCTGCTCAAAACTGTCAGTTCTCCCTTACAAAATGCAGGATGTAGTTCATGGGAAGGACTTAGGTTACTTTTAAAAGCATATTGATGTTATATTATGAATAGTGACATTTTTGTGTAGAATCATTAAGCTATAGCTACCAGAGGTACTGATGCATTATGTTGATGGTCCACCAGTGAAGGTAGATTTGGAAAGGAGTGAAACTGAATTTATAGAAAAGATTCCAGTGGTTAAAAACATGTTGAATTTAATAAGATTAAACACAGATGAATAGAATAAATGAACCCAAAGGTAGATATGTAGAAGTTCTCTAAATTCGGAAATGTAAAGCATGAAAGCCGTTAATAGATGTGAAAAACAGATTAAGAAGCCCTGTTATTCTGGCATATACATAAATATCTCCTGAGGAGAGAATAGGAACAGAAGGAGAGGAGACTGTTCGAAGATAATTGGTGAGACTTTTCCAGAGTGAATGAGGTAGAAGAGTCTTGAGCAAGGTAAATAAAAGCAAATTTACACCCTTAAAAAATATTATAGAGATTAAAAAATTTTTGAAAAACCACCAGAGGGAAAAGATCCACCTATCTAGGCAAGAATACTGGAGTGGGTAGCCTTTCCCTTCTCCAGGGGATCTTTCCAACCCAGGGATTGAACCCAGGTCTCCTTTATTGAAGGCAGATTCTTTACCAGCTGAGCCACACGGGAAACCCAAAGCCCTTGACTGTGTGGATCTCAACAAACTGTGGAAAATTCTTAAAGAGCTGGGAATACCAGACCGCCTTACCCGCCTCCTGAGAAATCTGTTTGCAGGTCAAGAAGCAACAGTTAGAACCAGACATGGAACAATGGATTGGTTCCAAATTGGGAAAGGAGTACTTCAAAGCTGTATGTTGTCACCCTGCTTATTTAACTAATAGGCAGAGTACATCATGAGAAATGCTGGGCTGGATGAAGCGTAAGCTGGAATCAAGATTTCTGGTAGAAATATCAATAACCTCAGATACACAGGTGACGCCACCCTTATGGCAGAAAGTGAAGAGGAATTAAAGAGCCTCTTGATGAAAGTGAAAGAGGAGAGTGAAAGAGTTGGCTTCAAGCTCAACATTCAGAAAACTAAGATCATGGCATCTGGTCCTATCACTTCATGGCAAATAGATGGGGAAACAGTGGCAGACTTCATTTTCTTGGGTTCTAGAATCACTGCAGATGGTGACTGCGGCCATGAAATTAAAAGATGGTTGCTCCTTGGAAGAAAAACTATGACCCAGACAGCATATTAAAAAGCAGAAACATTACTTTGCCAGCAAAGGTCCGCCTAGTCAAAGGTACGGTTTTTCCAAGAGTCATGTATGGATGTGAGAGTCGGACTATAAAGAAAAGAGAGCTCAGAACAATTGATGCTTTTGAACTGTAGTGTTGGAGAAGATTCTCTTGAAAGTCCCTTGGACTACAAGGAGATCAAACCAGTCAATCCTAAAGGGAATCATTCCTAAATATTCATTGGAAGGACTGATGCTGAAACTGAAGCTTCAGTACTTTGGCCACCTGATGTGAAGAACTGACTCATTGGAAAAGACCCTGATGCTGGGAAAGATTGAAGGTGGGAGGAGAAGGGGACAACAGAGGATGAGATGTTTGGATGGTGTCACCCGACTTGATGGACATGAGTTTGAGTAAGCCTCAGGAGTTGGTGATGGACAGGGAAGCCTGGTGTGCTGCAGTCCATTGGGTCTCAAAGAGTCAGACATAACTGAGAGACTGTACTGAACTGATAAAAGAACAGTAGGTCAACAGCATAAATTTTTCTCAGTAAGGGCAGACAGAGGTCAGAATAAGGTAGAATTCAGAATACTAAGGGAGAATACCTCCGAACCCAAGCTGCTGTTTTCAGATAATTTGGGTGTTAAAAATAATATTTTGGGTAAAGATGATGTTTAATACTTTTAGGCGATTGAGGAAAGAACTGTTAAATCATATTAGTAAAAAGGAAACTGAGCTTTGGAAGAAAGTAGGAAGCAATGATGAGCTAAAATAAATAAAATTTCAAAATTTGTAGGCATATTGGTATAATTGAAAGCATATTGACTGCATGAGCTAGTAATAATGATGATTAATTTAGGGTTATTTAGAAATAAAAAACTAAAATTTTAAATGAAAAGACAGTTCTTTGTCAGTTCTTATTAGTAAAAATGAGAATAGATTGAAATTAAAGATATCTTAAATATGGTAAAATGTTGGGGTAATCAAAAAGAATAAAATAACTTACTAGTGGAGGAAATACAATAGAAAGAGGAGAGGACTTTGTAGGAAGGAGATTAGGTTGAAAATAATTTTAATAATAGCTTCAGTATCCATGGTGACATTGAAGGATGTCAGTAAAATCATTAAGTAAAATACAGCCTTTGGGGATATTTAATAGAAGGCCAGAAAGGAAAACGGGAAGCACTGAAAGAACTCAGTGAAGAGAAAACACAAAATAAGATAATAGGAGTAAAAATACATGTATCAGTAATTTTATGTAAGCATTTCAATGCAGAGTTGAGAATAAAGAGAAAAAATATCAGTACGTTATTAAACAAAGCTGATGTAGAAATAGGCAAAATAGACTCTAAGGCAGATATAGTTCTGAACATGCTTTGAATCTAACAACATAGTCTTAAAATATACAGGGCAAAAATTGAAGTAAGGAAAAATGTGCAAACCCTAGTTAAACAGTTAATCACCATTAGGATTTTAAACTATTTTATTTTTCAAAAACTGATAAGACTGAGCAGACTAGAAATGAGTAAGACTACAGAAGATTTGAATATAGGATTTGAATATCAGTTATTAAGCTTGATTTAATAGTTCTGTTTGAAGTGATATATTCCCAAATTACAGATCCTTTTCGAGCATATAGAAAATATACACAATTTGAAAATCTATTAAGGCTAGAAGAAAGGCCCAAGATATAGAATTTGTATCATAGACCATATTGTAATTATTAAGATACATATGGCTGCTTGTTAAAGTACATTAAAAGTAGAAATCAATAACAGACGCCTGACCCTTGTGGTTTGGGAACTGCATTTCTCAGTTTATGAATAGTAATTTATGTGGAAATGATGAAATATTTAGAATGGAATGACTATAAAAACAGACCATATAAAAATGTATGGGGTTACATGGCTGTGGGCTGCTCCATGGGGTGGGCACCACTTCCCAGGCATCCCATGGAGGCCACTCCCATTGGTCGAGGGTAGTTCTTCAAAATAAGTATGCAAATATGATTCAGTTGCATACTGGGGCTGGCGACAGTGCACTGGCCCAGTGAAGGAGTCCAGGAGGGGCATCATCATTGCCTTCTACTCCACCACCTCCGTTTCTACCTAATGTTGTGTGGAAGGCCAGTGCAATCAGAAAAAAGTTACTGAAGATACAGAACCTTGAAAAGAAAGCACAGCATATGACTTGATTATATATTTCTAAAATACAAAAGAATACATAGTTTATCAACCACTGAAAATGATATCATAATGTGTTAGATTGTGAAATCAGCATACAGAAATTAACAGCTTTCCATGCAGTTCAATTAGTAGATGTATGGCAGATATCCTATCTGTCATAAAATAAGATAAAGTAGGGTAAGAATAAAGTGTTCCAAAGAATGCAAGTTTCTACAGAATAGCAAAGAGAGAAAGAAAGCGTTCCTCAGTGATCAGTGCAAAGAAATAGAGGAAAACAATAGAATGGGAAAGACTAGACATCTCTTCAAGAAAATTAGAGATACCAAGGGAATATTTCATGCAAAGATTGGCTCAATAAAGGACAGAAATGGTATGGACCTAACAGAAGCAGAAGATGTTAAGAAGAGGTGGCAAGAATACACAGAAGAGCTGTACAAAAAAGATCTTCACGACCCAGATAATCACCATGGTGTGATCCCTCATCTAGAGCCAGACATCCTGGAATGTGAAGTCAAGTGGGCCTTAGGAAGCATCACCACAAACAAAGCTAGTGGAGGTGATGGAATTCCAGTTGAGCTGTTTCAAATTCTGGAAGATGATTCTGTGAAAGTGCTGCACTCAATATGCCAGCAAATATGGAAAACTCAGCAGTGGCCACAGGACTGGAAAAGGTCAGTTTTCATTCCAATCCCAAAGAAAGGCAATACCAAAGGACGCTCAAACTATCACACAATTGCATTCATCTCACACGCTAGCAAAGTAATGCTCAAAATTCTCCAAGCCAGGCTTCAGCAATACGCGAACCATGAACTTCCAGATATTCAAGCTGGTTTTAGAAAAGGCAGAGGAATCAGAGATCAAATTGCCAATATCTGCTGGATCATCGAAAAAGCACGGGAGTTCCAGAAAAATATCTATTTCTGCCTTATTGANGAGTTGGACTGTAAAGAAAGCTGAGCGCTGAAGAATTGATGCTTTTGAACTGTGGTGTTGGAGAAGACTCTTGAGAGTCCCTTGGACTGCAAAGAGGTCCAACCAGTCCATCCTAAAGCAAATCAGTCCTGAGTGTTCATAGGAAGGACTGATGCTGAAGCTGAGGCTCCAGTACTTTGGCCACTGAAGAACTGACTCTTTGGAAAAGACCCTGATGCTGGGAAAGATTGAAGACAGGAGGAGAAGGGGATGACAGAAGATAAGATGGTTGGATGACATCACCGACCTGATGGACAAGAGTTTGAGTAAACTCCGGGGGTTGGTGATGGACGGGGATGCCTGGCGTGCTGAAGTCCAGTGGGGTCACAAAGAGTCAGACAAGACTGCGCAACTGAACTGAACTGAAATATAGAAAACAAATACTAACAGACCTAAAGGAAGAAATGGGTGGGAATACAATAATAGAGGAGACTTTAACACCTCACTGACGTCAGTGGACAAATCTTCCAGACAGAAAATCGATAAGGCAACAGAGATCCTAGATGATGTATTAGGACAGTTAGACTTAATTGATATTTTCAGGACATTCAGTTCAGTTCAATCACTCAGGCTCTCTGCGACCCTATGGACTCAGCACACCAGGCTTCCCTGTCCATCACCAACACCCATAGCTTGTTCAAACTCATGTCCATTGAGTTGGTGATGCCATCCAATCATCTCATCCTCTGTTGTCCCCTTCTCCTCCCATCTTCAGTCTTTCCCAGCATCAGGGTCTTTTCCAGTGAGTCAGTTCTTCGCATCAGGTGGCCAAAATGTTGGAGTTTTAAGCTTCAGCATCAGTCCTTCCAATGAATAATCAGGAGTTATTTGCTTTAGGATTGACTGGTTTGATGTCCTTGCAGTCCAAGGGACTCTCAAGAGTCTTCTCCAACACCACAGTGTTTATAGGTGTCACTTTTTCTTTTTAGTTGTTATTAGGTTTTGTTTGCAAAGCAAATAGTGGATTTTTAAAAAAAGATCATAGCTTTTATTTATTTACTAGTAAAGTTGAACATTTATACGTCAAATACAGCATTTCTCTTTAGTAACTATCTGTTGATGACTTAAAATATTAAAGTCATTGAATTATGCAAGGCTTAAATTAACTTGGCCACCATGTCCCCAAGATTTCTTTGTCGATTTTTGTGTCGTTTGTGTGTTTGTGTTTTAATATTATAGGTTATCAAGACGGCAATGTTTCAGAAGCTTCAGGATCATCCAGAAGAGGTGGAAGAGGTAGTTTCCGAGGTTGCCGTGGAGGATTTGGTCTAGGAAGTCCAAGTTAGTAGTGGATTGCAAATACTGTGCTTCATTTATTAAAGAAATGATTAAAAATAACATCACATATAAGATTGTTATGACTATATGAGAACGGTTTAGTATAATGGCTGGTACATAATCACTTATGCTATGTAAACTATTATTTTGTAGACATATGTAATTCTTATAGATTAAATGAGAATATGTGAATCTTTCTAACAGTTTGTGTGATGCAGTTCTTTAATATTACATGCTGTGAAGCGTTTTAGAGCTTTGATAAAGATGGCTGACCTTACAAATAAGTGGCATTCTCATGATTCAGCCTCCCATTATACCTTCTTATACCTGTGTGGCTGTCTACCTAAATGTTTCCAGTTGTCTTTCCTTGGTGCTAAGATATTGTCTCCTGAAGTCACTTTTGGAATGCATGTCTCTCTTAACAGAGGAGAACAGAGTAGTGAAACTAAAAATGTAAACTGATATAATGATTTAATATATGTATAGCAGATTAGTGAATTGTCACTTTTTAAAAAGTGAAGAGATCCACAGGGCTGCTGTTTAAGACTGGTAAATTTTGATTTGAGTGCAGTGGGTACCAAGGGATGCTATTCTGGAGAATTAAGCAGTAAGATTATGTAATGTGAAATTTTGAGGGGCAGCAACAGTGCTGTTTTTCAAAGGTAATTTAACTTGCTTATATCATATTTTGGTGTAGTATTAGCTCTGAATACTTTTATAAGCTAATTTTAATAAAATTTTGAGAAAGTAATTTATAATTGAAGGAAATAATTTATGGAAAAATCCTTCTGTGTGATACTTCAAAAACACTATGATTCCTGTTAAATTTAAATTATTTTATCCTGCATCTTTTTAACTTATGGCACCATAAATTGATTTTTTTCTGTTTACTGCATGACTTAAAATGTTTTAAAAGTAACATAATCTAATTTTTTTAATCTGTAAATCTAGATATTCATGAACAAGATGAGGGGACCCAGCGCTCTGGTGGCATTTTTGGTTCTAGAAGATCAGCATTAAGTGGTGCAGGTGAAAAATAGAATTTATTACTGAATATTAATCATTCACATTTGCTTTTAGCTCTAGGATTATTGAACCTAATATATATTTTAAAGTATATTAGATTGGTTCATGATTATCTCTGCTTTTAGATTTGTAGGCAAAAAGAAAATGGACAGTTTTCCCTCCCTTATAAACTTTGTGCTCTGTGAATTATTCCTTCTTTCTTATCTACCAGTTAATTTGAGATGTAAATTATACTTTTAATTAGAAGAAGGAAAATGAAGTTTCCTTTGGTTTCAAAGAAAGGATTCTGAGGGAATTTGAGGAGAAAGTGGGGGAAAAAAAGAAGCATTCTATTGATGAAATGTTTAAAAGTAGTTAAATGAACTGTGGTATTAAAAAGAAATGAGCTGTATCAAGCCTGAAAAGACATGGAGGAGCCTTAAATGCGTACTGTGTGCATGCTAAGTCACTTCAGTTGTGTCAGATTCTTTGCAACCCCATGGACTATAGCTCACCAGGCTCCTCTGTCCATGGGATTCTCTAGGCAGGAATATTATAGTGGGTTGCCATGCCCTCCTCCAGGGGATCTTGCCAACCCAGGGATTGAACCTGTGTCTCCTGTGACTCCTGCATTGCAGGCAGATTCTTTACTGCTGAGCCACTGGGGAAGCTCTAAATATGTGCTACTGAGTGAAAGAAGCCAATCTGAAAAGACAGTATACTGTACGATTCCAACTCTGTATGACATTCTGTAAAAGGCAAAACTGTAAGAAGAGGGCTGAAAAAAATTGCGTGGTTGCTAGGGGTTCCGGGAAGGGATGAACAGACAGAGCACTGAGAATTTTTAGGGTAGTGAAGTTACTGTGTATGATACTATAATGATGGAGACATGCCATGATACATTTTTGCAAACATAAAAAACACTGTACAGTACCATGAATGAGCTGTAATGTAAACCACGGACTTTGGGTGATTATGACGTGCCAGTATATAGGTTTATCAACTGTAACAAAATACCTTTCTTGTGGGGAGTGTTGATTATGTCAGGGGGGTGTGGAGTATGCAGGTGTGAGGACTGAAAGTATTTGGGAAGTCTCTGCATTTTCCCCTTAATGTTTCTGTGAACCTGAAATTGCTTAAAAAAATGAAGTGTTTAAACAAAATGTTCAGACGAGAAAAAGTTTTTAGTTAAATATAGAATTAGGAGATGGGTGGGTTAAGGGTCTAGGAATCCTGAGAAATTACTCAGTACTTGAAAAGAAATAGCTATGTATTCTGTGTGCTTGAAGAGGAGCTGTGTTTCCTCTGAATATTTCTGTAAAACAATGCCTTACAGGTAATGGTGACACTTTCCAAAGCAGAAGTGGTAGTGGAAGTGGACGAGGTGAGTTCTTATTTGGTTTATCTCTAAGAGGTTAAAATGACTGTAATTCAAGTTTAATTTTTGAAGTTAAAGGTAACTGTTGCTGCTTTTATACACACTTTGAGGAGTATACATTTGCACGGCCAGTTTGGAGAAATTGTTTACTTCTGTTGTTTAGTCGCTGTGTTGTGTCTGACTCTTGCAACCCTGTGGACTATAACCCACCACGCTTATCTGTCCATGGGATTTTCCAGGCAAGAATACTGGAGTGGGTTGTCATTTCCTACTCCAGGGGAAGCAAGTTGTTTACTACTACTCTTTAATCCAGCAGTTCCATTATATACTGTAGGTATATATGCTCAATACATGTAAAAGGATGTTCACATAAGCTTCATACGTGAAAACTGAAAATCACCTAAAATTCATCAATAAATAACTGCTTAATAAATAACATAACCATAAAATGGGAGTTACCATGCAAATGTTAAAGACTGAGATGTAATCTATATTTACAAATTCTTATATTAAAATAATTTTTCTTATGAGATCTATAGCTTGGTGTAGGGGATAAAAGTTCAGTATAGATAATTTTATACTATTAAAAAAATCTCAGAGTTAAAAATGCTTAAATTTCATATAAAAGTTAAAATATTTTCCACACTAGTAAAACAATAAAGCTTGCTTAATATCTGAAAAATTCTGTGATCATTATTAGTCTGAGAGCATTCAGAGTGGCAGTTCCCTTGAACCACTTTTCCCTGCTTCACTTTCAGATTCTTGGTTTCTTCAGTGTAGAAAAAAAAAATTATTAATGGCTAAACCATGTTTTATACAAATTTTTAGATCTTGTTTGGAAAAGGGGTTTGAAGACCTGTGGACATACAGGACAAAAAAATTAGAGAGTGCACATATTAAAGTGCTATGTGTTAGCCTTTCAAAGCTAATACAGTCCTTATTGTTTTTGTGTTAGTACCTGAAAGTGGCACAGTCAATGACTCCTTGTCTAGAAACCAGAAAGGTGGTGTGTGGAAAAGAGTTAACATGATAGGCCTGACTGCTCTTCTTGAAAAGTCCTTCTTACAAGACCCTTCCCTGACTTCTGGGAACTTGGATTTTGGGAGGGGTCTCAACACCCTTAACCAGTGTGAGTGGTCCACTGTACCTAAATGGTTTGTAAAACAATGTGGTTTATGACGAATACCCAGTTTTCTTCTGGGAGTTGGGAAATTTGGTACATGCCAGGCAGAAGGTGCCTGCCTGCTTTATCAGCCCCTCATAAGAACCCTGGATATTGAATCTCTAATTAATTGCTCTGGTAAACATTTTCAGCATGTTGTCACAACTCGTCCTGTATGACACCAGGGGGAGTAACTCTTAAAAGCTTGCACCTGGTCTTCTCTGGCCTTTTCTCCATACCCTTTTTTCCTTTGCTCATTTTGCTCCATATCTTTTCTATGTAATAAGTCACAGCCATAGTTTTGACTGTATTCTGAGTCCTAGCAAATCATAGAACCTATAGGTTATAGTGGGGACATCTAAACAGAGATGGACTTTTAGTTCCTCTTAGAAAATATATTCCTTTGTTGAGGAATATAGGAATAGGAAAGAGACATAACAGCTTAAACAAGAAGATACTAATATGTTATAACATTGTAACCTGCATAAAGCCAGCATTTTGAATGCTAAGAAAACTTAAAATATTCAGGCTTCTATTTATCTTAATTGTCTCAAATATTATTTGTTCGAAGGGACCATCCATGTTTAGAACTTTTTCTCTTTGAAGACAAGCAACAAAAATAAAGATATACTCAGTCTTGTGTATTGACTGACTATCACTGTGTATTTCTTTAATAGGTGGTTACAAAGGTTTAAATGAAGAAGTAATTACAGGCTCTGGAAAGAGTAAGTTTTACTTTAGATAAGGTATTTGATTTTTATAGTGAGTATTATTTTACCCCTCGATTTTAAAAAACATTTGTCTTGTTTTCATTTGATTCCTTTTAAGATTCTTGGAAGTCAGAAGCTGAAAGAGGAGAAAGTGGCGACACTCAGGGTATATTAATTTTTGTGTGATCCACATAAATGTATATTATATTTTAATGCAAATGCAGAATATTTAAAGAGATAACTTTAAAAAGTTTGAAGTAAAAACTTAAATGGTAAACCTTGGGAACTTTTTTTTGTAATTTTATTTACTTTTGGCTGTGCTAGGTCTTCGTTGCTACACAGGCTTTTCTCTAGTTGCAGAGACTGAGGGCTCCTCTCTAGTTGTGGTCTTCTCATTGTGGTGGCTTTTCTTGATGCAGAGCATGGGCTCTAAGGTGCACGGGCTTCAGTAGTTGTGATACGTAGGCTCAGTAGTTGCAGCTCCTGGGCTCTAGAGCACAGGCTGCACATGGGCTTAGTTGCTCTGTGGCATGTGAGATTTTCCTGGGGCAGGAATTGAACTCGTGTTTCCTGCATTGGCAGGTGGATTCTTTACCAGTGAGCCACCAGCGAAGCCCAGGAATTTGCATGTTGTTTTGAATTTGGGTTTGTTGGTTTTTGTCTGTTTTCTCTTTTATTTTTATTCTACTCCTTATAATGTAAATTTTCTTTTAAATTCTAAGGACCAAAAGTGACCTACATACCACCTCCTCCACCTGAAGATGAAGACTCCATCTTTGCACATTATCAGACAGGCATAAACTTTGACAAATATGATACTATTCTTGTAGAAATATCTGGACATGATCCACCACCAGCAATTCTGGTCAGTATAATAATTGTTTCTGTAATGACTGTGAGAAAAAACTTTGTTTTTTAAAAATTTGAAACATTTCTTTAAGTGGATATTAAAGAATACAAAAATTTCATCTTTAGTATTTAATGTCTTAGGTTGGAAATTTAGAATCGTATCTTAACATCTACATTAGAATTAATTGCTGTGTTGAAAGGGAGGGTACTATATTTCCTCCCCACCTCCTCAAACTAGGATGGAAACTTGATTTAAATTTATTAAAAAGGATACTTTTCCTAAAGATTCAATATTTCTGTTTCTACGTATGTGAGAAAGTGCATCTTAGGGGAATGATTTTCTAAGGAGTCAGGGAGCCCAGAGTTCCCTGTTGATAATGAACCGGTTTTATTGATCAGAGTTACTTGTATCTCACAGATTTTAAGGGGGCTGAAAAAGTTTTTAGAGCCGTTGTCTATATGGAATATTCCTTAATTCTATCAAGTAGTCGCATAGAGGTTCTAGATATTACTTTTGAATGGGGGCATATGTATTATATAAAGTAGAATTAACAACTTGAAACTAATTCAAATGGAATATGTTTATGGAATGACTAGTGTATGATACATGGAATTTAACCACTGCCCCCTGATTTTTTTTAGACTTTTGAAGAAGCTAATCTTTGTCAGACATTGAATAACAACATTGCTAAAGCTGGTTATACTAAGCTTACTCCTGTGCAAAAATACGGTATTCCTATTATACTAGGAGGACGAGATTTGATGGCTTGTGCTCAGACAGGCTCTGGAAAGACTGTAAGTCACTTCCCTACATATATTTTGCCCAGTATTCAAACTGTCACTTTTTGAACTTTGGTTCTTCCCAAGTAGATGATTTTAGTGAACTGTCATAAATACTCATGTTTTTGCCTCTGATTTCTGGTTTTATTGAAGTTTGTATACTTTTGAAGAAAGAATTTTGAACTATTTCTAGAGTAGTGTTTTGTAGTTCATAGATGTTTAATCTATAAGTGTATTCAGCTCCTTCTATGGGACATAATATTTAAAACAAAATAACTGAGAGTCAAAGCACCAAAGGTTATAAGACCTTGGATTATAAGAGCAAGGGAAAAAATAATTTATGTAATGTAAAGTTTTTCCCATCACTTCATGGCAAATAGATGGAAAACAAAAAGTGGAAACAGTGACAGATTTTATTTTCTTGGGCTCCAAAATCACTGTGGACAGTGACTACTGCCACGAAATTAAAAGACACTTCCTCCTTGGAAGAAAAGCTATGACAAACCTAGACAGCATATTAAAAAGCAGAAATTTACCCCTTTGCTTACAAAGGTCCTTACAGTCAAAGCTAAGGTTTTCCCAACAGTCATGTATGGATGTGAGAGCCTTAAAGAAGGCTGAAAGCCAAAGAATTGAGGCTTTCAAACTGCGGTGCTGGAGGAGGCTCTCGAGAGTCCCTTGGACAGCACGGGGATCAAAGCAATCGATCCTAAAAGAAATTAGCCCTGAATATTCACTGCAAGGACTGATGCTGAAGCGCCAATACTTTGGCTACCTGATGTGAAGAGCCACCTCATTGGAAAAGACCCTGATGCTGGGAAAGATTAAGACAGGAGGAGAAGGGGGCGACAGAGGATGAGATGGTTGGATGGCATCACCAACTCGATGGACATGAGTTAGAGCAAACTCCGAGAGATAGTAAAGCAGCCTGATGTACTGCAGTCCATGGGGTCAAAAAGAGTTGGACATGACTTAGTGACTAACAACGACAGTGTAATAGCTGATACAGTTTTGGAGCCAAGAGAATCAGAAATAGCTGTATGTACTGTTGTTGTCTATGTACTGTACCTGGTCCTTAGTATGAAGTGACCTCTGGTTATGCTAATTCTAAAAGAACTCTGATGGGACCAAGTTGGTCTTAGGACTAAGATTTGTGAATTAAATAGGGTTCCATGAGATGAGCATTAAAGACTGTCATTTCCAGGATTATAGTCTTGCTTCATACTATGTTAGTCTTAAAAATCCTCCATAGTAGAATTGAAAGGAAAATAAGTGAAAATAAGTTGTACAATATAGGAGCTAATGTGTTACCTTAAATGTGGTTTTGGAGGTAGATTTTAGGGTCTTATTTAATAAGAAAACTGTAGCACAGAGTTTCTCTTCCCATATGTAACTTTTATGAGGGTGATATATTTAGTAATTCAAATGAATGCTTTCCCAATTTTTGCTCTGTTTTGTGGACCACTTTTGTCATGCATTCTGATTTTATTTCTACCTCAAAAGGAATCATATATAATAAATGCTACATTCCTCATTTACCTCAAAATAAGTTAATGTTTGTTTATGTAGAATCTTTGGTTGTGTTTGTTTTTAAAAAAACACAAAAGATATTTTAATCAGATAGATTAACTTTATCAAACATTTTATATTGTATAATATGAGCATGACAATCAAAATGTTAGAAACTCATTGAAATAAAAATTATTTCCCTTTCTCATTTTAAATTTATCAAAAAGATGAAAGAAGAAGCTAAAGGATATAAAGACATGAGGAATAGTTTGCCATAGGGAAAAGGATGATGCCCTATAACCTTGTAAGTTATGCAATTTAACTTCTAGGCAGCTTTTCTCTTGCCAATTTTGGCTCATATGATGCGTGATGGAATAACTGCCAGTCGTTTTAAAGAACTGCAGGAACCAGAGTGTATTATTGTAGCACCAACTCGAGAGTTGATCAGTCAGATCTATTTGGAAGCCAGAAAATTTTCTTTTGGGTAAGTACATCTGGAATGCAACTCACAAACAAGTTTTTCTTTAGAGAATTATTGTATTTATTTTGGGAAGAACTCAGTACATGAATAAGAATGCAGTCATATAATTTAATTTGGTGTTACTTGACTGAAGTTGACTTATAGAACTTGACTTATAGAACTTGACTGAAGTTGACTTACAGAATCTGTTTTTAAAAATGCTTATTAAAAATTAGATGGTGATAGAAGTAGAACGATAAGACAGTGTACATATTCATGTGTTTTCTGGTAGTTTTTAAGTATATGTTTAAACATGAGTTTATGGTGTTCCTAATAATTTTCTGTCCTTTAACACGTAACTTCATAAAATGGATAACTGCTTATTTAACAATCAGACCTAATTTTTAATGACTGTAAGATTGTCCATGTGTTTGTATTTTATTTCTCTATTTGGAAGATTTAAGTTGTTTCTAATTTGGGGCTACTATAAATAAAAGCAGTTCTTGCTTTAATGAACAACTTGCTTATAAACTTTTTCTACTTTTATGTTTTAAGTATTTTATTAGAGTAGATTTTTATAGATTTAATGTTAAAGAATATGAAGTTATTTTAAAGCTTGCACTCTACCAGCATATTTGAGTTTTATTTATTTTTCCTCCCAGTTAGGTTGCCCTCTGAGATACGAAAATTTCCCCCAGACCCGCCAGTGAGAGGGTTTCCTGGTGTTTGGAAACTTCCTCTGTTACGACTCCCTTCCCGGGATGAATCTCCGTCCCTAACTCTATTGTCTCTCTTTTTATCTTTTGTATTTTGTCCTACCTCCTTCCAAAGACAATGGGCTGCTTTTCTGGGTGTCTGTTGTTTTGTGGAGTTTGCTCAGTGCTCAAATGTTCTTTCGATGAATTTTGTAGGGGAGAAAGTGGTCTCCGCGTCCTATTCCTCCGCCATCTTAGTTCCCTCCTACCAGCAGTATTTGAAAATGCCAACTTCACTATACACTTTGCCACTATTTGGTATTGGATTAGTTATCTGTTGCTGCTTATCTTAAAACCTAGTTGCTCAAAACAATACATATTATTTTACAGTTTCTGAGGGTTAGGAATTGAGGAACAGTTTAGCTGGGTGTTTCTGGCTTGGCATCTCATGAGGTTGCAGACAAGATGTCATCCAGAATTACAGTCATCTGGCTTTATTGGATCTCTCTGTAAGACTGGTTGTCTCTAGGAAATGACAGCTGGCTTCACTTAGATTGAAGGGTCAGTGAGAAAGAGCAAGGAGGAGGTTTCTGTGACTTTTGTAAGACAGTTGCAGTCACTCTTGCTGTACTCTGTTCGCTACTAAGCAGGTCACTAAATCTAGCTCATCCTCAGGACTGGCTATATAATTTGCGAGAACTAGCCCAAAATGAAAGTACAAGGTCCTTTGTTAAAAAATTATGATGAATTTTAAAGCAGCAAATAGAATAGTAAACCAAGTTCAGGTCTTTTTTAAGCATAGGACTGTGTATTACTGCACAGGTTATATACCTATGAAGCCAGCCTTGCACACATCTTTGGAGGGAGTTAGGATCTATATTTAAAGGAAGGTGTATTGAAGAATTTGTGTACATATTTTAAAATCACTACAGCTATCTTCATGTTTTCATTTATTTGGTTATTGAGAGGTTGAACTACTTTTTGAATGCTTTGTACATTTTCCCTGTGAATTATCCATTTGTTGTCTACCCATTTATCTGTTGGTATATTAGTGTTTTTCTGTACAGTTGTTTAGAACTTTCTATCTAGAACCTTCACCTTTTATTTTGTATAAATCAGTTTATTTGAAATTAGAGGAGAAAAAACTAAAATTATTAAAATTCTTTTAATGTCAAGCTTGACAGATCTTTTATAAGAAGTAGATGTACATTGCTTATACCATTGTTTATTTCTTACTGACCCCCATGTATTGTGTTGCTCTTCGAGCTTTTAAATCAAGTAAAAGTTTTATTAAAAAAAAACAGTAATGATATTTCAGATAATATGTATGCACAAAATGTATATTAGTATGTGGATATTTGTTGGAACATTTTTGTGGCAAAAAACTGAGAAGTGTCTAACTGTCTATCTTTAATCCTCCTCTTCAAAGTTTACACACTATTATGGTTTTATGTGAAATAGTATAGAAAGAGCTGGTGCACATATATGCACTTTAATTCTCCTCTCAACAAATCTTAGCATACTAAGCTTGGTTGCCATCCTTTAAAAAAAAATGGTATATGTTGGAGCTAACACTTACTATAGAACTGTACTCCTCTTTATAGATGCTCAGTGTTCTTTTGTACAGAAGGCCTATAGTTCTGTTTTTTATTGTTAGATAATTTTCAGTCTTTTGATACTAAAAATCATGTTAGCAGTGAATGTATTACACAGTCATCTTTACCCCTTTGTGGGGATACATCTGAAGGGAAAATTCCTATATGTGAATTTATTGGGAAAAATAAGTTTTAAAATTTTAATAGAGACTAAAATTGTGAAAGAGATTGTATCAGTTTATCCCCCTGAGTGCCAGTTTCCCTACACTGGCTAACATGGCATTATCACACTTGAGGGAAAATTTTGTTAGACTTCATTTGTTTTGCTTTATTGCTTTTAAAAGTAATATTGAACTTAAAGTGTTTAAAAACCATCTGCATTTTTAATGAACATTTGTTCATGTTGTTGGCCTGTTGTATGGGTGTTGGTTGTGTTTCTCATTGTTTTTGAAGAGCTCTATCAGGCAGGTTGCAAATATTTTTTTCCCTCAGCTTTTCAACTTACTGGGAAGAATTGTAAAAGAATGTTGAATGTATTAGCTTTTTCTTTATGGGTTTCATTTTGCATCTCATTAAAAACAAATGACTAATTTTCAAGTAACTAGAAAATGACATTTATTTTTATTGTCAATAGGACTTGCGTAAGAGCAGTTGTCACATATGGGGGAACCCAGTTGGGGCATTCAATTCGACAAATAGTACAAGGCTGTAATATATTATGTGCTACTCCTGGGAGACTGATGGATATCATAGGCAAAGAAAAGGTAGGCTCTAGAGGGATAACAGAGTTGTGAGATTGACTAGTAATTGTTTTGTTTGGGAAAGAGAGAAACTTGTGTAAAGACATGTATGTTCATTACAGCACCATTTGTGTATTAGGCTCCCATCTGATTCCTTGAATGCTTTCTTATATAAATCTTAATACAAATAGGTAAATAGTATTTTCCACTTTATACTTGGGAAAACAAACTTTTAGTGAGATTATGCTCTAGTAAGTGATAGGGTTAGAATCTGGATCTGATTCCAGAATCCATATCCTAGACCCACTACACTGGGAGAAAAATGAAATCAATGCTTTTTCCTAGTTTCATATATGTCTTGAGGAAATTATTTTTTTTTTACTGGAAGAAAACCTTTGTGGTATCAGTAATTTTGTCTCCTGTTTTAAGTGTGAGAGTGATATTATCCAGGATTGCTAAGTTTCTGTCTTTGGAGAGCAATTTTAGGGCTATTTATTTTCAGTATTCATATACCACATTATTACATCTCTGTATCAGTATTTTCAGTTCACTTTCATGACCCTGCTTTGCTTTTTTAAGACTGTTCTTTAAAGGAATTATTAAAAATATGCTCTTTCTGCAGAAAGGAATTTTTCTTATGGTACTTACTAAGAGTATCCAGAGAAATTCACTTTGATTTCCCACCTTGTTTCCCATCTTTCATAGGGTAACAAAATCACTTGTTTTCTTTTTGCAAATATGTGCTTCTGTTTTTAGCACTAAATATTCATGATAGGTAAGAAAAGTTTTCCATTTGTTGCTGAGTGGTTAGAGAATCGGGGATTTATTAAGGGTTTAAAGGAGTTAGACATAAATTTGTCAGTTATAGGCCATTTGATAATGTCATGCTATTAAGAAATTTTATTTCTTACATTAAATAGCCTGACTTTATCAGATAATATAGTCTATATATGTGCTGTCCAATACAGTAGTCACTAGCTACATGTGGATATTTACATTTTAACTGATATAAAGTTAAAAGTTCGTTCTTCAGGCACACTAACTATATTTCAAGTGCTTAATAGCTGCATATGGCTACTGGATAATACTGAAGATATAGAATATTTAAGTAAGTACAGAAAGGTCTATGGTGTAATACTTATCTAAATGTTTTGGTTTCTTTGAGTTTTATGAAATGTTTTATAACATAAGACAAAATTGAGAGATGAAATGAACACTAATACTATTAGCTAACCATAACAGTGGTCTCATCATTGTATGCATTGATTTCTAATCTTCATCTTTGAGAATATATTAATAGTTAGACTTGATGAGAATATTTTCATTTAATATATCAACTACTATACTAACTAGTATGCATTCTCTGCTCTAACCCTTGAAAATATCCCAAAAGATTGGTCTCAGACAAGTCAAATACTTGGTTTTGGATGAAGCTGATCGCATGCTGGATATGGGTTTTGGACCAGAGATGAAAAAGTTAATTTCCTGCCCAGGAATGCCGTCAAAGGAACAGCGTCAGACCCTTATGTTCAGTGCAACTTTTCCAGAAGAAATTCAAAGGTAAATTTTTTCTTCTTAGAAGTAGCTGCTAGGTACTAAAATGCTTTTATAGCAGGAGAAACAATGTGAATATCTTATTCTTGAGAGATTAAAACATGGATAGTTTAAAAGTAAAAGTATTTCTAAAAAGTTTACTATATTTTTCATTGTTTCTTACCTTAATTCCTGGCTTTGCATTAGCATCACATTTTATTAGAGTGTATGTGGTTGTGTGAGTGAGAAAATGAGAGCACATAGCACCTCGCTAGGATTTAGTAAGTGCTTACTAAATGAAATTATTTTTATGGTGGTGCCGCCCCTTTGACTCCAAATTACAGAGTTTGGGGGAATTTCACTTGTGTTAGAAAATTAATGTGCTAATTGTTGACAGATATTTGAGTATCATATATACACTGTGTGGTCTGTGAGTTCTGAGGTTAGCATGACATATTCCTGCTAGAATGGTGACTCTTCTTTCTGCCTGCTACCCATACAGCAGGTCTAGCTTATACAGTTCAGTAAAACTCCTGTTTTCTCTGGTGGAACTGTTCTCTCTTTGGGAACCAAGACCTCCAATACTTACAGTTGGTGCAGTAAGCACAATTTCCCATGTGGGTCACCGGGAGTGATGGTAAATGGGCCACTCTAGCTTGTATCCATCCCTTGGTTCCCCGACCCATATACTCCATAAAGATCTTTGATTCCTACTGAATGATTGCTTTACTCTCTGCTTCTAAATGTTACAAATTGCCTATTATTCCATCTGAAGTCCATTTTTCACATTCTGCATATTCCCTGAACCATTGTAGCATCCATATCCTTGGCTTGCATTTCTACCTGTATGCACTCCCAAACTTATTACCTGTAATTTTTTGATTGAAGTATAGTTGACTTACAATATTATATTAGTTTCAAGTGTACAACTTAGTAATTTAATATTTTATAGAATATATTCCATACAAAGTTATAAAATGTTAAGGATGTTCCTTATGCTGTACATTCTGTCTTTGTAACTTACTTTATACCTCATAGTTTGTAACTCAATCCTTTTCACCTCTCTTACTACTCTCTTGGCCCCCTCCCTTTTGGTGACCATTGGTTTGTTCTCAATATCTGAGTCTGTCTGTTTTGTTATGTTTGTTTCTTCGTTTTATTTTTTAGGTTCCACTTATAAGTGAAAACAAACAGTATTTGCTTTTTTCTGACTTATTTTACTAAGTATAATTAACCTCCAGATTCATCCATGTTATTGAAGATGGCAAAATTTTCATTATTTTCTATGGCTGAGTAATATTCCATTGTGTGTGTGTGTGTGTATCACATCTTCTTTATCCTTTCATCTGTTGATGGACACTTAGGTTGTTTTCATATCTTGTCTATTGTAAATAATGCTGCTATGAACATTGGGAAACATGTATCTTTTCATTTTAGTGATTTCATTTTCTTCAGATATCTACTCAGTAGTGGAATTGCTTCCTATGGTAGTTTTATTTTGAATTTTTTGAAAAATGCCCATTCTGTTTTCTATAGTGGCTGTACCAGTTTACGTTCCCACCATCAGTGCATGTGGATTCTCTTTTCTCCACATCTTGCCAACCCTCGTTATTTCTTGTCTTTTTGATAATAGCCATTCTGACAGGTGTGCGGTGATATCTCATCGTAGTTTTGATTTGCATTTCCCTGATGATTAGTGTTATTGAGCATCTTTTTCATGTGCCTATTGACCATCTGTATGTCTTATTAGGGAAAATGTCTATTCAGGACCTCTGCCCATTTAAAAAAATTGGGTTGTTCGTCTTATACTATGAAAGAAATCATGAAGAAACCCAAAGACAGTGTACTGATTGGGAGAAGATATTTGTAAACAATATGTTCAATGAGGGATTAATATTCAGAATACATGAAGAACTTGTATAAGTTAATGTATTAACTTGTATAAGTTAATATAAAAAAAAAAACCAGCCTGATTATTACCTGTGTGCTTAATCTCTCTCCTCAGCTTCAGACTTTTAGATTTAACTCTTGAGGATTATTTTTCCTCTTCGATGAATTACCAGTAACTCATGTTCATCAGGTACAAAGTTGAACCTCTTCTGCAACTCCCTCTTTTTATCTTTCCAGTTTGCCTTGTTGGCTTCGAGGTCTTTTGAAACCAGTCATTTGAAGCATGTTGATTCCTCCCTCATATTCCTTTAACTCTGCTCTTCAAAAGTATTCAACTTGGCAGTTATCTCTAAAATATTGCAAATTTGTTAGTTTCTTCTCTATTTACCACCTTATTTTAGGTCCTTTTCAGTTCCCCTCTGCTCATTGATAGTAGCTTTCTAATATGTCTGTAGTTTGGCTTTTGGGCTGTTAAAATTGCAAAACTAAGTCTGATCTTTATCGCCATTTATTTAAAATAAATTCTCCCATGTCTTTCCATTTCCGCAGACTAACCAACTTTTAAATGCTTTTATATATGACAGTTTTTGCCTCATTTGCCACTTTATTCCTTGGAATGATATTTTTCTGGTTTATTTATAGTATTTCCTATTGGCTATGCAAGCCAAATTCTGTTCCTCTTCATTATTTATCCTTATTTCTTCTTCTGCATAGAGTGCTTTTCCTTAGTCATCCCTATTTCATGTTCTTGCTTGCTGCTTCCTTAGATCAAGCTTTAAACTTGAAGACTCTTAATAGACATCATTTCATCCATTTCCTGCCCATCTTGTAAAGGAACCCTCTATCTTTTGAAAGAAACTATTTAAAACACTTTGCAGTTTTCTTGTAATATAGTAAGGTTCAATCGATGTTAACTATTGTAGCACTAACTTACTGTAGTAAGGCATTGAATAATTAAAATATGTAAATATTAAACTTAATAAAATATGTTTAAATTATAGTAATTGCTTTTATATAGCTATATTTATGCTGTTTGATATGAGCAACACAGGCAGAGACCATCATATTCATCTTTATACACACAGTACCTTATACCACGTATGCCTCACGTGGTATGGCACTCAGTATATATTTTAATGAGTGTAAAGGATGATTGATAATTACGAATTTCAGATAATGTCAAGGTTTGTGTCTGGATGAAAGGGTTCTAGACTCTAGAAGTAGTGTATGAACAAGAAGTTTTTCTTTTATGGTAAGAGAGCAGATGAAAAAGAAGCATCAGTGATTTATTAAGATTCTAGATATGCAGAATTTGAACTATTTTCTTGATATGCTAGGAGATGACTAGACAGTAAGAGATTGCTATGTAGGAGAGAGGAGGACTTTTTTCCTCCCAAACTTGCTCTGTAATTGGCAATTCTGCTTCTCCCCACCACATGTTTCTGTGATCTAAAGCAGGGCTTCTTCATGATATATTATCCGTGAGTTGTGTGTGTGTCAGGATGCTGATACCCTCAAACTTTGGGGAGAGCATCTGCAGCTTGGTGTGGCCTACCCCTAGTCTGTTCACCTGGTCTCATGTTTTTCACCAGTTATGCTCTACAGGTATTACCATTTTCTATGTTTGTCTTGATGTGAAAAGCATTGACTTAACATCTGGTTTGCTCAGAATATTATAGTTCATTTGGAGTATACTAATTTAACAGCTCATATTTTCAGGGAACAACTCTTTTAAATAACATATGAAGGTGATGAATGAAGAACAGAATTTTTGCTGTAGGTTTGCATTTTAATCTTTAATTAAAAAATTCATGCTTGTTATAGTCTGATAGTTTAGCATACTTTTTATTATTGTTGTATACACATTTTGTATAGTTTCGTGTGGTCAGGGCTTCCAGTTGAAATTACTTACCCATCATTTGACACAGACTTTTTTATTTGTAATAAATGTTTTGCAGAATGCTAACATTTTACAATGATATTTGAAAGTAATACTTGGATGATGTAATATCTACCATCTCTTATTATGACTGTTATAATCTGACTTATAAATGTTATAATCTGGCTTATAAATGTTGAAGTAACACTTGCAGGAATTCAGTGAATATTATTAGTATTAATGGAAGAGAATAAGTTAAGGAATACTTTTTGTCTTTCAAGGTTGGCTGGGGAGTTTTTAAAGTCGAATTATTTGTTTGTTGCTGTTGGACAAGTGGGTGGAGCATGTAGAGATGTTCAGCAGACCATTCTTCAAGTTGGCCAGTACTCAAAAAGAGAAAAACTTGTTGAAATTCTACAAAACATAGGTATATCTTATGTTGATTATCTTTTGTCATGATTTTGATTTTTACAAAAATTACTTTTAGAAATGACTTTAAGATTATTTGGCATGAGTTAAATAAGTTTTCACTGTTTCTTCTTCCTCTGAAGTTCTTTTTATTATGATTCGATTTTCTGGTAAATTATATAGCAGTACAGTCCTTTCTCCTCTATAAATGTTAAAAAAAAAAAATAGGAGTTTGAGACTTTAACAGTGCTTGACCAAAAACTATTCCAGCAGAAATATATATGTTCTTGTTTTAGAAAACAGAAAGGATTAGTAGCGTATCTTTACATCAAGCTCTATTTACTCCACTAAAAGTAGTATCTTTTTGGTATTTCTAATTCCCAGTTTTTGTTCTCTAAGGCTTCCTGTATTCATACATTCAAAGAATTTTGGAGCTAGAAGGGACTTTAAAGGTCTAATTCTATTCCTTACAACGTTAATGAGAAACTCTATCCCTCCCTTCAAAAAAAGCCAGTTTTTATGGAAAGTTGTATTTCTTTGTTTGATTGAGATAGCTTTAGTTTGTGCCTAGGAAGAAAATTTTATAATATGGCCATTTTAATATTTTTTTGTTGCCTCACAGGCTAAATGTATTATATGGATCCTTTCTCCTCATCCTCCATTTTAAGTGTCTGTTTCAGTTTGAAGTCAGTGTTAGGAATGGGGAATAAAAAGGGAAGAAGCTGTCTAACTTCCAACAATAAGAAAAAGTTGATTTAGAAATGCTTTTAAAAGGCTTCTAGTCTTTGGTTTTTTTCTGAGTTTTATATAAAAAAACTTTTAAAAACCAAATATTCATCTTGAGTTTGAGAAATGTTATTAGTTTTACTTCATGATATGTGTCATAGCATGTACTGTTGCATGCAAAATAATATTTGCTGTGGGTCATATACTATTCTGATTGTTTTACATGTGTTCACTCATTTAATTCACAAAACAACCTTCTGAGGGTGGGGTTTGTTATCCTCATTTTAAGGTTATGGGCACTGAGATACAGAGATGTCAGATAACTTGCCCAATATAAATTGAAGTTCCAAATGCAACAGGACATAAGTAATACGTAGTTTTGCTGAACTTAGAGCACATTTGTAGTATAATTATCTTAAGACTTTTTATATATGAATTTATGGAATGAAGTTTGAGAATAAGTCAGCTGAAGAGAGTGTTTCAAAAGTGCTGGTTTCCCTTTGCAAAACCTTTGAGGTCAGCATGTAAGCACTATTGGTATACTTTTGTATTATTTGAAAGGGTAAATATTTTATAGTTCATAATTTATTATTCTTGGTTTCTTTTTACTTTGCATAGAAATGTTATGCTGTATATCATATTTTATATATTTTTGTTCATATAAATTTATCTATTTTTCTAATCATTAACTTAAATCTGGTAGCTTTCCTCTTCTGCTTTTAAAATGTATAGGTTTCATTATTTCATAGTAGTATCAGTTGAGTTCAGTTCAGTCGCTCAGTCGTGTCCAACTCTTTGCGACCCCATGAACCTCAGCACACCAGGCCTCCCTGTCCATCACCAACTCCTGGAGTTTACTCAAAATCATGTCCATCGACTTGGTGATGCCATCCAACCATCTCATCCTCTGTTGTCCCTTCTCCTCCTTCCCCCAATCCCTTCTAGCTTCAGGGTCTTTTCCAGTGAGTCAACTCTTCGCATGAGGTGGCCAAAGTATTGGAGTTTCAGCTTCAGCATCAGTCCTTCCAATGAACACCCAGGACTGATCTCCTTTAGGATGGACTGGTTGGATCTCCTTGCAGTCCAAGGGACTCGCAAGAGTCTTCTCCAACACCACAGTTCAAAAGCATCAATTNCTTCCATACCTGACCACTGGAAAAACCATAGCCTTGACTAGACATTGTTGGCAATGTAATGTCTCTGCTTTTTAATATGCTATCTAAGTTACCAACTGCCTTTTTCATAATTTTAAATGAACAGGTGTCAAAGATTTTATTAAGCTCATTAATTACAAAGGGAACTAGTAAGATGTTATAGCCAGTTCAGAGGAGAATTCAAAGAACACATTTATGTGTAGGATATCAGGAAGACTAAGATGAATTTATAAATAGATGTAAAATTGATCAATATCCACAAAGTTAAATCTGTTAAATTTGAGGGAAGATTTTCGTTTGTATTCCTATCGATAAGAATCATTTGCATTGCTCTCAGTTGCAGTAGAGGTATAAAACAAAGGTAGTAAAAGGTGCAGACAGCCTTGAAGGGTATGCCAATCAGTGTCAGCTCTGCTCGTTTCAGAGTCTTCAACAGTTTTTTCTGACAACCTGTATTCCCACATAGTCACAATAATCTCAGTTTATTCTTGATCACAAGAAAGGCTGGTCTCATTATGTTTGGCCTATTTTCATAGGTGCAGCAAGACTGTTCCATAACAAAGGCCTCTTCAAGTTTGCTTCGCAAATCTAGAACCGTACAATATTGAACAACTATGAAAGTCACAAAATTAACTTCTAGATAGTTTTCATAAGAAATCTGAGATTGAAGTTGTAAAGATCTCTGAAGAATAGGAAACTAAGTCTAAGATACTTTTCATATACCATTTGCAGAACCTAGAAATTTAAGTGAATTCCTCTCTTCTAAATTTCCCCAGATTTTTAATGTAATTGATTCTTGTTTCATTGAATCTGTCATCAGATTCCATCTACTTTTAGACTATAAACAGTTCTAGAAATGATCCTCAACCCAGTGATCTTTGCAACTTGTCAGAATGTCAGTTTACAGCCTTCTTACCTTGAGGTATCAATAGTTTGAAGTGCCTGAAACAGTCCTTTCCCAGAAGACTTGGAGTCTGTTCTTCTTCATTGATGATAGAAACTCTCTGGTTTATAGAAAGTCTTTGGACAAGCATCAAAACAAAACAGAGACTGTCTGTAGTTGACAGAGAATGATTGTGGTTAAGTTATTAGTGATCATTGTTAAATACGGAAGATCTGATGAAGGCTGAAAATAAGACTAATGCTACAAACAAAGAAATTTGGTTGTATGGGGCAGTGTACCTCTGAAATATACAGAAAGCCTATTTAGAGTTCTTTCATAAGTGTCTTGGTCAGTGTTTCTCCTGAACTTTAAAAAAAATATTATGTATATTATCAAGGGTGAAACAGATCACCAGCCTAGGTTGGATGCATGAGACAAGTGCTCGGGGCTGGTGCACTGGGAAGACCCAGAGGGATGGGGTGGGGAGGGAGGCGGGAGAGGGGATCGGGATGGGAAATACATGTGTAAATCCATGGCTGATTCATGTCAATGTATGGCAAAAACCACTACAATATTGTAAAGTAATTAGCCTCCAACTAATAAATGGAAAAAAAATTAAAAAAATATTATGAACAGCAAGGGAATTTACATAATTCTAGGGACTTCTCATGAAGTAAACAGTTTTGAAATGTATGAATAACATTTTACCTATGCATTTCAACCAAGGGAAAGCTTAATGTCTTCTGATACAACAGTTCTTACACAACTCTTTAAAAGTAATAATGTGTTATATAAGCTTGATTATTTTTTAGCTTCTCTTTTATTGTATATGGTGAAATAAAAAGCCTGTCTTTTCCCTGGGGTTCTCAGAGAAATTTCAGAAGTACTTTAGGCAGATTTCTTCTTCTAAATTTATCAGTTCAGTTGTTCAGTCATGTCCGACTCTTTGTGACCCTATGAACCACAGCACGCCAGGCCTCCCTGTCCATCACCAACTCCTAGAGTTTACTCAAACTCATGTCCATCGACTCGGTGATGCCATCCAACCGTCTCATCCTCTGTCATCCCCTCTCCTCCTGCCCCCAATCCCTCCCAGCATCAGGGTCTTTTCCAGTGAGTAAGCTCTTCACATCAGGTGGCCAAAGTAATGGAGTTTCAGCTTCAGCATCAGTCCCTCCAATGAACACCCAGGACTGATCTCCTTTAGGATGGACTGGTTGGATCTCCTTGCTGTCCAGCGGACTCTCAAGAGTCTTCCCAACACCACAGTTCAAAACCAGCTTTCTTTACAGTCCAACTCTCACATCCATACATGACCACTGGAAAAACCATAGCCTTGACCAGACGGACCTTTGTTGACAAAATAATTTCTCTGCTTTTTAATATGCTGTCTAGATTGGTCATAACTTTCCTTCCAAGGAGTAAGCATCTTTTAATTTCATGGCTGCAGTCACCATCTGCAGTGATTTTAGAGCCCAGAAAAATAAAAGTCAGTAGTCACTGCTTCCTCTGTTTCCCCATCTATTTGCCATGNTCCACTAGCTTTGTTCGTAGTGATGCTTTCTAAGGCCCACTTGACTTCACATTCCAGGATGTCTGGCTCTAGGTGAGTGATCACACTATTGTGATTATCTGGGTCATGAAGATCTTTTTTGTACAGTTTTTCTGTGTATTCTTGCTACCTCTTCTTAATATCTTTTGCTTCTGTTAGGTCTAAATTTATAGTCTGATCTAAAATAGACAAAATCAAAAGTTTTCAGAAGAGAATTGAACATTTTACTAGTGTGAGATTACTTAGTTCTTAGGCAGTAATTTAATTGAAGTGACAAAGCATTTTAAAATGAGAGAAGAAGATAACATGGTTATAAAGAACAATAGCTCTTTCATAAAGGTCTTTTTCTCTTTAAACAACCAAAGACATAATAAAGTCAGAAAAATCTCTGCTATATAGGCTGATTATAAGGAAGAGAAAGAAGAAAGAAGAACCTTTCATATTGTAAGTAAAGGCATTAAACAGTAAATCAGGAAATAGTTCCATGCAAATTGATTGAATTTGTTAACATTTTAACATATTTCATCCTTTTTTTTTTTTCTTTTTTGGGGGGGCTTTCCTGGTGGCTCAGTGGTAAAGAATCAGCCTGCAGTGTAGGATACGCAGGAGACGGGTTCAATCCCTAGGTCACGTAGATGCCCCCTGGAGGAGGACATGGCAGCCCACTCCAGTATTCTTGCCTGGAGAATCCCATGGACAGAGGAGCCTGGTGGGCTACAGCCCATGGTGTCGGAAAGAGTCGGACACCACTGAAGTGACTTAAGCAAGCACGTAGCTTTTTTTTTTAGTAGTCACATATTATAAACTGGTATAAAATTCAGTTTCTAAGTTTTATCTTTCATTGTGCATTTTTCCTATTCTGGAGCAAACTGACACTTTAGGACAAAATGAATCCTTCTCAGGTTCCCTGAGATGCTCTCAAGGAGTCTGTGAGGTAAAAGCAATTTTCATAATTATACTAAAATTATTTTAACATGCAGAATGTTCTAGTAAATATTTACAAAATTTTTGGTTTTAGTTTTCAGGGTGGTAAATGTTAGTTGTTACAACCCATGTAGCAAAAACTCTTTGGGATTGTTGATAATTTTCTGAGTTTGGAATCATAGACCAAAATTTTGAGAGCTGCAACTTTAGGGAAATTTTACTTTTTCTTTCCTTGAAAAATAAATGCAAAAACAGTTTATGTTTCTTGGTCAGTATTACTCCTAGTATAGTCTCGACCACTTATGTTAATTATTACTTTTAACCAAAGTTCACTTCTGTTTCATAGAGAAAACTAGAGGCAGGGATGGACATTTGAGAGATACCATACAGAGACATTGAGGCTGACTACCAGAACTCGAACTTTCTATGCTACTTTCTACACCACATATCCTTTTACACTTAAAGTAGCAAAATTGAGTATCTTCCTTATTATGACTCAAAGACATTGCCTCTCTATGATATATGAAAAATAACAAGCAAATTCCATCCTAAATATTCAGTGATTATCAATTTAATTAACTCAGTATAGTCTACTGTTTTAACTTAACCATAAAGCCAAAGATCCTGGAAATTATCTTCAGATGACAGTATGCAAAACAGTAGATAATGTTGAATAGTCCGTTTAGTTGAACACAGATTTTCATACACTTAAACATTATGGAGAATATTAATTTGGGAAATCTTCATACATTAAGAAAAACCCAAGTAAAGTAAGATATGTTTGTTTTCTACTTAACACTGATAAATTGGAGAAAGGACATGCATATTTTTAAAACCAAAGTTATTAAGTTAGTCTTGTATATCAAAAGTTTCACTTATTTATGAGAACTTGGAATCTTAAAATATTTCTTCTTAGTTGCTATAGGAAGAGTTTTTAATTTGATATACAGTGGGTGCTTAGTTGCTTCAGTCGTGTCCCCCTCTCTGCGACCCTACGAACCATGGCCTGCCAGGCTCCTCTGTCCATGGGATTCTCCAGGCAAGAATACGGGAGTGGGTTGCCATTTCCTTCTCCAATAGTTAGAGTATTATGAGTCAATTTCTCTATTTTCTGGGAATTTGAGATTTCTGGAATTTTTAGAATCATAGTTTTTAGAATTATGGATTTCTATAAATTCTCTAATTTATCTGTGTAAACCAGTCAGAATTGAGCTCCTTTAAGAGGCTTTATGTTTGTTAATACTTGTCCATAGAGTATTAACATAATGATTATGTACGGTGGTAGATAACCTCTTTCTGAATTATAGATACATAAAGAGCTGATAGCTTCAGTTCTGTCGCTTAAGCCATAGGTCAAGAATGTACACAGAAATATAAAAAATTGCAATTTGGCTACCAGAGCTAGTATTCTTTTTAGATTCTTAATTAATTTTAGTTTATAATGGACTAGCAAAATAAATTCTGTATTATTTTTCACCTCACAGAATAAGTAGTTATAATTCATTAATCCATTTACAAAGATCACAAAATGGTCTGATCATAAAACTAAATTTTCATTATCTCTGCACTGAAGGGATATAGCTTATTACCTGAACTAGAAAAAAATCCAAAATTTTTAGTAGAGGAAAACAAAGTGTCAGCAGAGTTAAATTTTTATTACCATTTTGGGATTCACACTGGGCAACCAGGAAAAGATGAGATCAGGGCTTTAAGCTGCATAGTAGTAGTATGTACCTGACTGTATCAAATGAATCAGTTTTGGCATTGGGCATCTTGATGGATGATCTCCAAAACTGTTGAATTTTTGATAAAACATAAAATCATTACTCATTAATAAAATGACTGTGTCTCAAGGATATAGCTCATTTATTACTGTAAGAATCAGTTATTCTCTTGATTTCCTACCTGGTTGTCTGATATCTGAGATTAAATATCACCTTTAAAACCCTCATTTCTTGCAATCCTAATATCTCACTTAGGAAGTTCCATTCATTATCTTGCCTGGAGAATTCCAAGGACAGAAGAGCCTGGTGGGCTATTTTCCATGGGGTCACAAGGAAACAATCGGACACGACTGAGCGACTTAGACTCACTCCAGTTGTTCAGACACAAAAATATGAGGCATCTTTGATTTCTTTCTCCAGTGTACATATCTGATCTGTTAGCAGAGTCCTCTTGTTTCTGTCTAGCATCAAACTATATTCAAATCCATCAGCAGCTAAGTTAAAGATCAGGTCTGATACTTTTCTCCAAACCCAATGGCTTCCCTTCTCAAAGTAAAGATCTTTCGGTGGATTTCAGGGCACTTCATGAAATGGCTTCTGTTATCCCTCTCCAAATCCTACTGCTCTCCATTGCTCACCCTATTCTAGCTGTATTTTGCTCATTACTATTCCCCACACGTACCAGAGATGGTTCTACCTCATTACCTTTGTTCTTGATACTCCCTCTGCCTAGAATGTAAAAACCAGATGGGGACCTCTTTTCTTTCTTTTTTTTGAGCACATAAAGAACATCTATACCTTAGAACCTTTATATTTGTTCTTACCTCTGACTCATAATGCTGTTTCCTCAGATATCTGAATAGTTCATTTGTTTAGTAATATCTGTCCTCAGATGTCATCTAATTGGAGAGAGTGCATAAACCCATTTGGCCCTTTATTCTGCTAAATTTTTTTCTTTTTTAGACTTAATGCATCATATTTGTTATTTAACTGTCCACACTGAGTGTAGGTACTTTATTTGCTGTGTTTTCATTATCTAGAATAGATACTGGCATCTACTGGGTGCTAGATGTTTGTTGAATAAATGGAGCCAGCTAATAGGGACATGGGGGAATGGGATTATGAAAAGTAACACCTTGTTACTTCTATTCAGGCTGTCAATTATTATCTTTCCTCTCTAACATTTTATAGAAAATTTATTTGTATGGAAATGTCTCTGGTTCATGCTTGAATTTAAACCAATTAACTACTTTAAGCTAACAAGTAAATATTCTTTAATGTGTTAAGACCCTGGGATCATATCTTATTATCTATATAGATATATAAGATACTTTGGGGATTAAGGGGTTTGAATTGAGATAATGTTGAAACATAGAATATTGTAGAGTTTGTCAGCCCTGGGTTGAATGCAATTGTTATGAATGCCTCTGGCAGTCAAGGTAGAATAAAAGATTCTATGACCGTGGAAGAACAAAGGCATTTATTTATAGAGAAGGAAATGAAGAGCCTGAATCAAATTTGGAACTGCTAAGAGTTGGCAGGTAGATATCATTTATCTTTCCCTTGCCAAGAGAACACACTGGTCATAGCAAACACCCTCTTCCAACAACACAAGAGAAGACTCTACACATGGACATCACCAGATGGTCAACACCGAAATCAGATTGATTATATTCTTTGCAGCCAAAGATGGAGAAGCTCTATACAGTCAGCAAAAACAAGACCAGGAGCTGACTGTGGCTCAGATCATGAACTCCTTATTGCCAAATTCAGACTTAAACTGAAGAAAGTAGGGAAAANGTTTCATTGTCTTGTAGGTGATGAAAGAACTATGGTCTTTGTTGAAACTAAGAAAAAAGCAGATTTTATTGCCACTTTTCTTTGTCAAGAAAAAATATCAACAACAAGTATTCATGGGTGAGTAGGTTATTATGATTTCCTAGTAAGGAGGTAACTTCTATTTGTCATTTGTTAAGAAATGTTGGTATATTTAACTAGGAAAAAATCCTGGAATTAGGATTTCAAGATCTAACTATTATTGTTCATCTTTGAAGTTTTTATAAGAACCAAGTGGCAGGGATGGGTGAGTTAGAAGTATCTTAAGTTCCTAATCATGATTGTCAAGTGATCTCACTTAAAAGTCTCTCTGATCCTTAGGTCTAGGTGTTTATTCAGCTAAATCTATTCAATGCTTGATATTTTTCTCATTGGAGTCCTCAAAAATGTATATTAACACAATTTCATTGGCACTTTACTAGGAGGTCTAAAATATTAATCAGTGAATATGTAGAATTCAGAGATTATACTTTAAAAAATCTAATTTTTGAGAAAGCATTTGATCAAGTAGTTATTTTTTGTCAAAACTAGAAAGAGTTTATTAGTGGGTAAGATTTGATGTTTGTCATATTTGAGTCTGTATTTTGGCTGTAGGTAGTAGCTGTCACCTTACTTCATCTGCAAATGGGGTTAATCGTCCTAACCTCAAAGTGTTATTGTGAGAATTAAATGATGACTTAAAAGAAATTAGTATAATACTTTGTATGTAAGAAATAGACATTAATGTTAATGGTTCTCTTTAATAATTTTCTTAAGGACTGTTCTAATACTTGCTTTGTTTTCTTTCAAGTGATCGTGAACAGAGAGAAAGAGAGCAAGCTCTTGGAGATTTCCGCTGTGGAAAGTGCCCCGTTCTTGTTGCTACTTCAGTAGCTGCGCGAGGGCTGGATATTGAAAATGTTCAGCATGTTATTAATTTTGATCTTCCTTCTACCATTGATGAATATGTTCATCGAATTGGGCGTACTGGTCGTTGTGGAAATACTGGCAGAGCCATTTCCTTTTTTGATCTGGAATCAGATAGCCATTTAGCACAGCCTCTAGTGAAAGTGCTATCAGATGTAAGTTTTTAATTTTTAAAACTGAATGGATAGTGTTCTTACCTTGTCGTTGAAAGTGGACATTTTATATATATGGATTTTCAGTTCAGTTGCTCAGTCATGTCCGACTCTTTGAGACTCCATGGACTGCAGTATGCCAGGCTTCCTTGTCCATCACCACCTCCCAGAGTTTACTCAAACTCATGTCCATCAAGTTGGTGATCCATCTCATCCTCTGTCGTCCCCTTCTCCTCCTGCCTTCAGTCTTTGCCAGCATCAGGTTCTTTTCCAATGAGTCAGTTCTTCACATCAGGTGGCCAGAGTATTGGAGCTTCAGCTTCAGCATCTGTCCTTCCAATGAATATTCAGGACTGATTTCCTTTAGGGTTGACTGGTTTGATCTCCTTGCAGTCCAAGAGACTCTCAAGAGTCTTTTTCAACAGCACAGTTCAAAAGCATCAATTCTTCGGCACTCAGTTTTCATTAAAGTCCAACTCTCATATCCTTACATGACTACTGAAGAAACCATAGCTTTGACTAGACAGACCCTTGTTGGCAAAGTAATGTCTCTGATTTTTAATATGCTGTCTAGGTTGGTCATAGCTTTTCTTCGAAGGAGCAAGCATCTTTTAATTTCATGGCTGTAGCCACCATCTGCAGTGATTTTGGAGCCCAAAAAGATAAAGTCTGACACTGTTCCCATTGTTTCCCATCTGTTTGCCATGAATTGATGGAACCAGATGCCATGATCTTAGTTTTCTGAATGTTGAGCTTTAAGCCAACTTTTTCACTCCCCTCTGTCACTTTCATCAAGAGGCTCTTTATTTCTTCTTTGCTTCCTGCTGTAAGGGTGGTGTCATCTGCATATCTGAGGTTATTGATATTTCTCTGGGCATTAGTGTTTCATCCAGCCCAGTGTTTCTCATGATGTACGCTGCATATAAATTAAATAAGCAGGGTGATGATATACAGCCTTGACATACTCCTTTTCCTATTTGGAACCAGTCTGTTGTTCCATGTCCAGTTCTAACTGTTGCTTCTTGACCTGCATACAGATTTCTCAGGAGGCAGGTCAGGTGGTCTGGTATTCCCAACTCTTTCAGAATTTTCCACAGTTTGTTGTGATCCACACAGTCAAAGGCTTTGGTGTAGTCAATAAAGCAGAAGATGTTTTTCTGGAACTCTCTTGCTTTTTTGAAGGAAAAGTAAACATGTGAATCTTTTGAGACTTTATGCATGTTGTTTATGAAGTTAATTTTTTTTTAAGGCTCAACAGGATGTTCCTGCCTGGTTAGAAGAAATTGCCTTTAGTACATATGGTCCTGGCTTCAGTGGTAGTACAAGAGGAAATATGTTTGCATCAGTTGATACTAGAAAGGTTAGTTGAGGGGAAAAATTTAGAAATTGGCTTTTTGTTATTTACTCTTTGTAAATGTTGTACTTAATATTGTGAAGTAACTGTAACCATAACTTAAGCCATTATTTTCATGTGTAGAAGATTAATGGTTCTCTAAAAATTTTATATACATATATAGTTTTGGTCTTAAAGGGGAGGAATTTAATTTAATTATGCTCAAACACTTTCCTTTCCCATTATGAATTCTAATTTAGGATCTTCTGAGATTTTCGTAGTAATTCTTTATTTTTTGAATTGTGACCACATTATTAAGTAAGATAAAATAATAGCAGTGTGGTTACATATCTTTTCTATTGTGTCAGTCTAGGCAACATAATTTTTATACAGAAACAATGGGCATACTAGTCATTAAGTATTTATGCTTATTCATTAAAGTGAAGAGCTTTGTTTTTCCATTTGCCAAAACTATTGGCTTACATTTTTTCTTGAAATACTCTGCAATTTAAACTTCCTAGGTTGATATGGACCTTTTTTCAAATGGATTGGATTCAGTGAGAATGAAATTTTTTGTTTGGGGAAGAAATGGTAGAAAGCTTGAGTCCTTGCTATCAGTCTAGGTAGTGTAACTTTAATGCTACATAAAATTAAATGTTTGTTTGTTTCTTTTTCAAGAATTACCACGGCAGGAGCTCTTTGAACACAGCAGGGTTTTCTTCATCACAAGCTCCTAATCCAGTAGATGATGAGTCATGGGATTAAAACGAAAATAACCTGCAAGTTTGTGGTACAGTTTTGATGCAGAGAAGAAAGTAGTTTTGATTTTTGATTTTTTAGAACAGAAGTATGAAACCTTGCATCTCCTATCCTTCTGTTTGTACTCCCACCCTTAAAAAAAATTCCTTACTGACTAGTTATGTGACATGCTAAAAGTTACAACGGTGCAATTACTAATACAAATGGTGTTAACCAGAAAGATTAAAACATTCTAAATATCTTGCCTATTTCTATTGTATTCTTCAAGGGTTTTAGACATAGTTCATGTCTAAATGCCATGTCTTAGTATAGTGTTTATTGATCCTAGAGCAAACAGGATTATAGGATACACTTTTGGTTAAAAATTATTGGGTTCTATTTTTGCTTAAAAGGAGCCTTTAAACAATAGTGTGTCACTGAAACGTAATGACATGATTTTCATGATAGATACAGTGAAAGACAAGCTTTTAAAAGCAGTTTTGATTTTATATCATCAGATGTGTGATGAACATGATTGAATGTTTGCAACGTGAACTCTGTACTCAATGATACAACTGTTTGTATTTATAATATACAGACTTCTCCTTAAAAATAAAGGATGATGCTGTTCTCTCGAAATATCCCACCCTCGCCTTCTCCCTGATCCATGTCAGTGTATGACAAAAACCACTACAATATTGTAAAGTAATTAGCCTCCAACTAATAAAAATAAATTAAAAAAAGAAAAAAACCAGGGGACCAAAATGTTCATGTTTTATTCAAAATTAATATCTCCATAAGGAAATTCTAAAGTATCATGGAATTTTGCTCTTATTTTTTACTGTCTTCCCCATGGGTTTGTTAGTCATAATGATAAAAACTCAGTGGTTGGGATTTTTGCTGCTAACCATCAGGAGTCTCCTGGAAGGGTGGACATGTTCACTTAACAGGAACTGATTCTATAAGCTGGAATGAGTAACTCTGACTCAGGAAATTTAGTGTTCATTTATGTGGAGTGAACAATTCTTTCAGATCCCAAATATCATATAAAGATGTACACAGTGCGCATTGGACTTTCCTTCACACATATATGTATTTGTTAACTTTTGCTCCCACACATAAACTTATTACTAAGTATATGTAAATACGGATCCCTGCTTAGTGGCACAAGTGGTAAAGAATCTACTTGCCAGTGAAGGAGGCATAAGAGACTAGTGTTCGATCCTGGGGTCGGGAAGACCCCCTGGAGGAGGGCATGGGAACCCACTCCAGTATTCTTGCCTGGAGAATCCCATGGACAGAGGAGACTGGAGGGCTACAGTCCACAGGCTCGCAAAGAGCTGGACATGATTGAAGTGACTTAGCATGGCATGTTTTTAAATAAATCACAGAAATGAGTGAAATAGGCATTACTTTTATAATGGCTTTATCTAAGTCACATACACATATACGATTCCCTATTTAAAGTGTACTATTCAATGTTTTATTTTTTGGCTACACCACACAGCATGTAGGATCTTAATCCCCTGACCAGGGATCAAACCCGCGCCCCCTGTGGTGGAAGTGCAGAGTCTGAACTGCTGGACCACCAGAGAAATCCCTTAATGATTTTTAATATATTCACAGAGTTGTGCAGTTATTACCACCATAAATTCTAGCATAATCAGGAGATGCAGGTTCAATCCTGGGTCAGGAAGATCCCCTGGAGTAGGAAATGGCAACCCACTCCAGTATTCTTGCCTGGAGAATCCCATTGACAGAGGAGCCGGACAGGCTATAATCCATGGGGTCCCAAAAGAGTTGGCCAAAATTTAGCAATTAAAACAACAGTTCTTTATTCCTTTATTTAATTACTAAATAATATTCCCTTTAATGGATATGCCATTCTTCATTAATCCATCTATCAATTCATGGACATCTGTATTGTTTCCATTTTTTGGCTCTTTGAGTAAAACTGCTAAGAATATTTCTGTATATGTTTATGTGTGGACGTATGTTTTCATTTCTTTGGGGTTTATCTAGTAGAGCTGCTAGGTCAGGTGATGTTTCTATGTTTTTACCTTTTAAACAACTGCCAAATAAATAAATAAACTGCCAGAATGTCTTCCATACAAGGAAATATAGGCTTAATGTAATGAGTTGGGAAGTACTCCTTCCTCTTCTATATTTTGGAATAATTTGTGAGAAAATGATATTAATCACTTTTTAAGTATGTGGCAGAGTTTACCAGTAAAGCCATTTGACTCTGCCATTTTAGGGGTATTTTGTTTTTTAAATCTCTTCACTAGCATAGGTTATTCAGATTTTCTATTTCTTCAAGTGACTTTCAGTACTTTTTGACCTTCTTGGGATTTGTCTATTTCACCAAAGTGAACTAATGTTTTTCAGCATTAACTGCATCTCATATATATTAATAAGTCTTCATTTTTAATTACTACAAAGTATTTTCTAATTCCCCTTGTGATTTCTTCCTTATCCCGTTTGTTGTTTAGGAAAGTGGTATTTAATGCCTACATATGCATTAATTTCCCAAATTTCTTTGTGGGTTTGGATTTCTAATTTAATTTTATTGTTATTAGAAAACATAGTTTCTATGATTTCAGCCTCTTACATTTATTGAATCATGTTTCATGGCCTCATATATTGTCTTTCATAGATGGTATTCCATGTGCTCTTGAGAAGAATATTTATTCCATTGTCGTTATATGGAATGTTCTATGGATATCTATTGAATCTAATTGTTTTATGCTGTCATTTAAATCAGTTATGTCCTTGTTGATCTTTTGCTTAGCAATTCTATCCATTTGGGAAAGTAGAACACTGAATTATCCAGCTATTGTTGAATTATCTACTTCTCATTTCAATTCTGGATAAATGTTTCTTCATTACCTGTGTACCCTTAGGACAATTTCCCCAGACAGTAAATGCTTTTTTTAAAGTAATTTTTACCAGTTTTATCAATAGTTTTGCTAGGGAGTTTTTCCTACTTCCATTTGAAAGTGGAAGTTTATATTAATGTTTATAGCAAAGATTCTTTGCCCTCTAATTGCTATAAGCAAATTTAGAGACAACAAGTTTATTCTGGTGGGGGAGACTTAAGAACACATGCAGAAGTATTAGTCCTTAAAGGCCCACGATAACTAAATATCTAACAAGTGAAATTTCCAACTCCATAGTGTTACCCTTCTCCAGAACACTCTGTTAGCAAGCTGTATCCACTGAGCTCATCTTATATTTTCCAACGATTTTTCCTCCTAGCAAAAACACAAACTATTTTAAGTCAGATACATGAAACGTGATGATTTAGACAGGATGGCACTAAAGGATAAAGAAGCAGCAAGACCAATCATTCCATCTTTTAATTCATATTCCTCAGGAGCCAGACTTGTTCAAAAAGTATGATCATATATCAGAATTACTAGATATAAGCCCCCAGAAATAACAACTGCAAGAATATTGGAGACAGAGCAATGCAGAACATAGATAACCCATGAAAACTGTTAATACATTTGATAACATGAAAAGCAACTTAAGGAGTGGTATATATACACGCATGAAGAAGAAAGCCATAGCCTGGATTAGGGATCCAAAGCTACTTCTAATTAGGGATCCAAAATGTTTTGTAGGGTATAATAAAAGCTGCATACTATATGTATGATAGAATACAAGAGGGATATATTTGTCCAAAAATCTGGGTTAACTGAATCCAGGATTTGGAAAGCTCACATCCCAACCAAATCTCTTATTCTTCCACATATTTAAATATTTTAGGTATTCCAAATAATTAGTTCCATTTCTTTAGAAGAAAACCTTTAGACTTTTGTTTGGCATAAAAATACCAATGTGTCTACTTAAAACTTTTAATATCTGTCTCTTTAATTTATTCATTATTGGTTATATTTATTTTACCTAGAAAATTTTCTTTAACCATAGAGGTTAAAGAAATTAACACATATTCTATCTCCAAGCTACTTAACTTGCATCTGCCTTAGTATCAGTACATGTTAAATGGTATAATAATAGGAGGACAGGATATGACAAATAACATAATCCATATAAAGTATCACTATTATAATTTTATACTTTTCATGATAATTAATTTTCAAAATTAAAATTTCATTTATTTTTAGGTTGAATCAGTTTTGATAATAGGAGTGTTATAAATGAGGAAGCCCTTGTGTTGTGAACTGACAAAGAAGGAAAGAGATAGCACAAAGAAAAAAAAGTATATCTAAATAGGTTTTAGATATAATGGCTGCATTTAGGGATACACCAAGGTGTGAACAGTATCTAGCATTAATTAATAATTTTTGTTTGTGCTCATACAAAACAGGTACTTTGAACTGAGAAAATTACCTGCTCCTATGTTAAATAACAGTAGTAACATATAGTGTCATATGTTAGACAATATTGAGGATGAGTGAAAATAACTGAGCTGCTTGCTCCAGGAAATACTGGCCCCTGGAAAATAGGACTGTGAACCATTAAAACAGCCAATTAAAAAGAGCTTTTGTACTTTTCAAGATTAAGAGCTTGTTCATCATGACAAGCTTCAAGATCCTTGATTTGCTGTGCTGGCCAATCCTAAGCTAGTATGTCAAAAATGTTGACCAACCCTAACCAGTACCCTTCCTTGCAAGATCTACCTTAAAATAATCAACTCTAGGCCCTAAAACTCTATACATGTTTTCCTCTGATGCCTCCCTCTAAGGCACTATTAATACTCAAGATGGGTTCTTCTTTAAGTGGGAAAAAAAAAAAGTAATCTGATGCGATCCCATGAACTGTAGCCCACTAGGCTGCCCTGTCCCTGTAATTTTCCAGGCAAGAATACAGAATGTGTAACCAACCCCTTCTCCAGGGGGTCTTCTCAACCCAGGAATCCAACTTGGGTCTCTTACATTACAAGCAGATTCCTCACCATCAGAGCTACATAGGAAGCAACGTGGGTTCTTTCTTAAGGGGGTAGATCTAATAAACTTAACTTTTTGATCAAAAGGTTTTTCTGGTGGTCTCTTCAGCAGACAAAACATGACATCTTTCATGGATACAAGTGTACATATCAGTGGGACTCAGGATGGCAAAATGATATAGAAAAAATTTTATTTATTAGATAATTTGACTTCATGTACTAGCTTTACTTTTCAAATACTATTATTCCTTTAAAGTTGTTATTCACTATAATTTAAATTTAGATATTCTAACACTTTATTAATAAAAAAAGAAAGATTTCCTCTTACAAATGTAGTTTTATTAACTGCATAACTAAATTTATAATTAAAATGTAGGATTTGTAATAAAATTTAAGTTACATTTTAAAGACTTTCCTAATGACTACATAGGGAGTATGGTTGAATTTAACACCCACCCTCAACCCATCTATGCCTATACATTTCTAACTAAAGATTACTGTTGTGAGAACATATTTATTATGATTTTCAAAACAACAATTGACAGTTGATAATATTGTTAAATATCTCACAGGTATTTAAATAATCTCTTGGTTTTACAAATTAATTTCTTATAAATGTATACTATAATAATTATATTTTCCTTCTTCCCCCTGTGCTTAATTTATAAAAGAGCATAACAATGTTATATGAGTTGAAATTCAGATACAAACCAAGAATAAAT